CAAGCCTATTTCAAGGCAAGAAGGAACCTAACCAGTATTTGTTTATTTCATACTAGGACCTTAATAATTTTAATTCTAAACTGTGTGAATTCTTTGCCAATGGTGTCATAGTTCCCTAAAATCAAAGATGCTGTCCTGGCAAATAAAAATAAAAATGTTTAAATTTAAACATGTACATTCACAGATGACACAAAGCTTTAACACTGTATGAAGGAGATAAGAGAATATAAATTGCTTTCATTTTCCACCTGTCATGGGAAATAGCTCTTTCAGAAAGATGTTGCTGTATTTGTACCATCTAGATGGCACAAGATGTACAAATGAGGGAATCCTAAATTCACAATCACTGTCCTTCACTCTATTAAATCAATCCTAATAATTGTGAAATGGTAATTGAATAAATCACTAACATGAAGCTGTACATTGCCATGAATACACAAAAGTTTAGTAAAAGTAGTTCTTAGATCTACATATTTTTTATTCTCAAGATGTCTGCAACTTAACACTGACATAGAGTAAGAGAGGATAAATTCTAAAGACAAAAATCAATTTTGTTAGGGTTATGGTAATAATCTCTTAGGGATGAGTTATCTGGTGCTCAGCAAGAGACTCTTCCCCAGAGTATAGTTACACTGCAGGTTCTGTACATGTTAAACCTTCTTTATGTGTGGCAGGATCAGCCATTTGGAGGGACAGGAGCTTTGTCTAAAACAAAACTCTGAAGAAACGAACAATTTAAGGGCATATTTTCAAACATACCACTCTAATATTAAGCCTCCTGATTGGACTAAACACAGGTTCTGAATTTATTGCAGAGTATTATATATGCATAAGCTACTTATATGGAAGACCAGTGTCAATAAAAGATTGTGTCTGAGCTACCACAAACTCTTGAAACAATCCATGAATCAGCAAGATAATCTTACTCAAAATTCCTGGATATTATCATATGTTACCTAGTAAGACTGCTCTTTTAGAGCATATTGCAAGAAGGAATTATCTTAAAATAAATTATCTCAAAATCAACTCTAACAGTATGTGAATTTCAGGTGTGAACTGGGCAAAGATTTCCGGAATAAAAATGTTGTCTTGAAGTTCCCCAGCTATGTGCTTTGAAAGGCAATTGATCAAAAATACCATTTTATGCTAACATATTTTTATACCAACATATTGAGGCATAATCCAACTTTATACAAATACCTGAGAGCTCAGACACATAAAACTGTATGTGAAGTTTCCTAATCTCACTGCAACTAATTTCAGTGTCTTTAGTTGTGGCAATGGTAGTGAATAACTTTTACTTTGTACAGAATGAAGTTCCTAGGCTTAAGCAAATAATTAATATATCTGTGCTTTGTACGGTGCAGAAAGTACATCCTTCAATAAAAAACCCTGTAATTGGGAACCAGTCTTTATTTACCAGAACATTGAACCTAGCAATATTGTAGCCCATAGCACATCTACTATACCGCAATAAGCAACCACTCAGGAAAGTATTGGGCAAAATTAGGTATCTTTGCTGAAGCAGCAATGAAATAATGCAACAAGTCTTGCCATCCAAAAGACACTGGGGCTGAAAAATGGAGCCCTTGCAATGTTACCATGAAACAGTAAAAGCTACAGGAAATCCAAGGCAGTAAGTGTTCACAGTCTGGAGAAGGAATTGAAACAGCATGGGATAGAATGAAGGGTTACAGCATGTACTTGACACAGTCAGAAGAGCACCATAAAGTTGTATTTCCAAGTACTGAAAGTCTAATAAATGACTCAGTAGGATGCTGATCAAAAGCTACAATAGTGGGATCAAGAGGAAACAAATAAATGGTTAGGGAAGAAACTCTTCATAATAAGCAGGAATTCCTTTGAATAAGAGAAGACTCAAATTTAGATTTCTATGATGCTCAGAAAAAGTCAAATAACTCTTAAAAAACATGTAACTAAAAATGTTAGTTAAATGTTTAAATATTATGTTATGAATAATCTTCATATAGTTGGCTAAAACCTGGGACTTTGCTACTGTCTCTATAAGATATTGAAATTTGTTTTCATTTTGAGTTGGCATTAAAAATCTACCCCCACACCAGTGCTGGAATAGAAAATTTGGAAAATGTGTCCATTTAAAAAATTTAAAAAATTAAAATATGCCAGCTTATTGTGCTTTTGGGATGTTTTTTTTTGGGGGGTGTTGTTTGTTTGTTTGTTTCATTTTCTTGGGGTTTTTTGTTTGGTTGGTTTTGATTTTCTTTGGGTCATTTTTGGGGAGAGTGGTTTTCTTGGGGAGGAAACCTCCTATGAAGCATTTTTAACTGCATTATCCTCTTCAAACTGCACTGAATGCTGTGTTAAGAGAAAACACTTATCTTGTAAAATTCTATTTGCAAAGTAACCTGATAAAAGTCCACAAATTCACTTTTAGAGTAAGTCAGAAGTAATTTAACATACAGAGTAACAGCATGTCATGATCTGTCTGCCTTCTTGGAAAAGAAAGTCAACAGGACCCTAAACATTCTGATAGGTATTTTAAAATCTGCAAGACAAAAGAGTAGACTTCTCAAAGTAATTTAAAAATCAGACCTTCAATACACAGTTCAATTTTCAAGAGTTCTGTCATTCACAACTCCAAAAAAAGTCAAGGGTGAAAATATGTAAAACATTCAGTATATCTAAAAATAATCTCATTGTTTTGGCAACTTGAAAATTATTGCAGTAACTGATTTTTTTAAAAGTTCATAGATTTCAAAATGCTAGCAAGTTTTTTTTTTTAAAAGAAGTAGGGTTCCATTCAACCAGATAATCTGTAAAGTAAAAGGATTTTCTTTCATATCTTTTATTAACTGAAAGGGTGTGTTAACTCCAGATGCAGTTGTTTGAGGAAGAAATCCCAATACTGATAAAGATGATGCAGACTTTATGTGAAAGCAACCTAATGATGCTGTAAACCTTAAAAAAGTCTCTGATTTTAAGACTTCAAATTTACAGTCGTCATGGTCCTAAAACAAGTACAGTCTTTCCAAGAGAAATCAAATTAAGAAAATTCTTCCATGGTTCCTCTGCTAGACAAACCCAAGTTCAAGAAAAAGAGAACGTATTTAATATTGCCCACCCTGTCAAAAATTAAAGACTTAAAGACTTAAAAGCCTCTTTTTCTCATGCTGTGATTATCAGTGCCTGTTAGTGTGTTTCTTTAGCTTCCACACAGCTGGATGTAACAAGTGAGGATTTTTTTCTGGGTGAAAGCTCCTAGTGTTCACTCAGACCTCTTGATTTTGAACATAATTTATCTGTCTGGCTGTGCAATTCCTCCTGTGTATTTTTGTGTCTGATGAACTAGAAACTTGCCCACAGAACACTTCTTATGATTAGTGTTTTTTCAAGTCCAGTGAACATAATAATAAATTAATCAATCAATCTACACCAGTCTCATTAAGCTCTGCACTACTAAAATTCTGAATTCACTGAGAAAGATACATTGTATGGAATGAAGAGAACTTGTGCATTAGTGTAGTAGATGAGTGTTTGCAGTTTTTCATAGGTATGCCTGAGTCTCCACAGAAAATACACATTAGACACTTGAATAGCATAATCAGAACCTATTTTTCTACCATTATAGTTAAACCACTTTCATTTTATTATAAATATGAAAAACACTGCTTAATTAAATTCTTGAAAACTCAAGGAAAAGAAATAAAATTTACTGAATAAAGAAAGCATTAAGATGCCAACACTGTCTTCTATTACAGGAATTTAACTTTTTTTTTTAATGCACATTTACTTTTTCTCTTAAAAAAATATACTGTTTTGCAAAATTGACAATAACACTCTACTGATTATAAATTTGAGTTGATTAAATTTTCAGACATTTTCCATAATTTAAATGCTTTTCTATATTTAAAAATGCAAAGTAATTTAATGATTTCTATAAAATGCAATTATTTTAAAGGCCTTCCTGGAGAAATATTCACATCTAATGGCTATTCTAAATAAAATATAACAGTTTTCTAAATAATAGTTCTAAATAAAAGCAAGAAGAACCACTACAGTAAAATCTTTCTCAATATAGTAATTTTGTACTTTAGCCTGTTTTTCCTGAATACATATCTTTAGTGAGCCACACTGAATCCTCTTTAAAAAAGTGAACTTAATTAATTTCACAAAGCAACGGTATTTAAATTGCAAAAGTATGCTATGAAAGCATGAGCAAATTTATCTTTTCTGCAGCTAAACATTTTCACTTATTTATGGTAAGATAAACATTTTTTCCTTAGCTACTTTAAAGAAGTCAAAAATACATCTTCCAAAAAGTTGCACAATAAGTTTTGTAATTATGAAAGTATATACAGACTGTACATTCCCTGACATAATGTAATTTATTTATTCAGCATTTAATTACACAGAAGTACAGTAGAAGTAAAGTACTTCTTTTTTTTTTTTTCCCTGTAGGTAGGAAATCTCCTTCCTTCACTGATTTTGTAGAAAAACAGTAAAAATACTCTGTTATGACCACTATCTTATGCATAACTAGAAAGCTTATTCATAGTTATGTTTTAAGAATCATTGCTGGAAAACAGTGGATTGAAAAGAAATTATGTAGGTAGGAAAATACCTATCAAAACAGTTACATGTAATGTCCAGTTTTTAAGTCAAGAAATCTTATGTTAAGATTCAATAGTGATTAAGTATCAAGACACAACCTGAAAAAGTCACTGTTAACTCATTATCAATGTAGAATTTTGATTATGATTTTCTGTCTCTCATTAAAAAATACATTTCAAGCTTGAAAATTTCAAGTTAGACCTATTATTCTGAGTAGACATTTTCATATATGCTACTTTTTTTCCCTTTGGCATCAGTGTATTTTTGTAACAACTCTGTTCCTTTTTTGTGTTTAAATAAACATACAGACTTGCATGTGTTCATGCATTTATGCAAATATATACGAAATCTTTTAAAGACAAATCCAAAACTCTATTGTTTCACTTGAGACAAGAGAAAAAACATACCTTTTCTGGATCAGTTGTTGTAATGACCCACACACAGTGTGCATTGTCTTCATATTGAACTGGATAATTCGGTGACGTGATAATGCCACTCGGTCCACGTAAATTAGAACCACATGTTCTAGCTAAAATGATAACCAACATATCAGATTGCTTTAGACTGGATGCTCTGTTGCAAATAGAAAATTTAAAATTGCCACAGCATTAGCAACAACTTGCCATGAAAGCATGCATTACTATGCTGGTATATTCTTTAACAATCTGCCCTTCGAAATATTGTAGCTAGACAAAAAAATAATAATCCTGAAAATTTACCTACAGATGAAGAAATGAGCACTTTTCAATTAATCAGCCCAACATTTACAATACCTTATCTTTACTTTCTGTAGATTAAATTCTACACTCAAAATTATCATACTCTATTTGGAAAGAGAGTTACCCTTTCCAAAAAGATGGAGGGAGCCTTCTACCCATGAACGTAAGAGGGGCCAGTATCCTTCATGATTTCCCCATGACTTGGAGAATAAGACACATGTATCACAATATTTATGTAACTATGTCCTTAACCTAAACATGACCTTCTGTGGCATCTTAGCTCTTTACACCATAGGAAATATAATTAGAATGAAAAAAATATAAAATAGTTCTAGGCAGTATGTAGTCAGAGTCTGGTAAAGCAGATTCAGTTGTGAAACCATCACAATCTCTCTGCCACATTCAGCAGATCCAGATAGTCAGAATTTTGACAACATATTACTTAACATATTCAGTTATCTTCTAAAGAACACTAAGGATAGATTTTGCAAGAATATTCAAATTTCTCAAAATAGTTCAGTATCTAGAAACATTTAAAACATATTTAGACATATAATTTCCAGTGACACAGAGTTATAGAATATTTCAAAATGTCACTGTCACGTTTTCGGTATTACACCACTTTATCAACATGCTAAAGAGAAAGCCTAGATCGTATAATTTCTAAGTTCTTAGAAATAAATCTCAGAATCTATCCATATATCTTCCACTACCTCCTGGTGTAATTTAGTCCCTTCAGTTACTTAAGGTTCAGTACAGGCAAGAGGAACAACTAGATTCTTTAAAAACTCATTCTTGTTCTGAATATTGGAATAAAGCACCAAACATATTTCTGGTACATTAGAAAATTTTAGTAATTTTAGTTTTCATCTTTGTCTGTGGCTGTCTCCATTCTAAAGCATAAAATATGAGTGTTTCTTCACGAACTGCTGGGAGGAAACTTGATCTTCATGAATAGAAGTGTGACTGCTACAAATACAAAAAAAAAGTGCTAGATGAAAATAACTATCAGATTTTCTATCCTGCCTTCACAATATATAACCAGTACCTGGTCTGTTGTTATGGTGTTAGAGACTAGACTTTGAGAACTTGTTATAATTTTATGACAAGATTGATTAACTAGGACTCCATTTTCTGTGGAAATGTCTATGTATTTATGCAGGGAGATTTGCACTAGATGATCTTTAAGTTCCCTTCCAATCCTCATCATTCTGTGATTCCACGTGTATGACTAAAACTGTTTTAATAGCCACCCACCAATCTAACTTAAGTCTCAGACACATCCCATGGAAATCTGTTACAATCCCAGTAGAAGTCTAAAAAACCCCTCATGTACATAGGAAATTCTACAAAAGCATTTAACCCCTCATGTACATAGGAAATTCTACAAAAGCATTTAACATCCCATGGAAATCTTCTGTTACAATCCCAGTAGAAGTCTAAAAAACCCCTCATGTACATAAGAAATTCTACAAAAGCATTTAACCGTTATTAAAAAGGTCTCTGTAATTAACACAGGAAAAAAGAAATGCTATAGAATCACTTAGGTTAGAAAAGAGGTCTAGGTTCACCAAGTGTAAGACTTATCAGTGTCCAATCCATCACTAGATCATGTCCCTAAGTGTCACAAAAAACTAATCACATTTAAGTATGCCCCACTATGCTGCCTGCTAATAAGGAAATCTTGGCATGTTGCTGCTCTATCAAGCAATCTATAATATTTTAACTGAGGGAATAACAAGGACAAATTAATGGGATTTGAAATACAGGGCATTTTCTTTCTAGTAAATGGTAGAAACACCATACCTCCAGCAGCACAACTAGCACACAATCCATTACTTTCTTTTCAATTCCTCCTGCCTAAGGTCTGCTATAGCAGAAATTTATCCAGTGGTGCAACTTTGTAGCAATAAAAAAAAAATAACCAAACCCAAAACAGCTGGTCCCTCCAGTAGCTGTCCACAAAGAAGAAAGGCTGAGAAACATCTCCCTTGCAGAGAGATTTTTCAGTCAACCTGTTACTCTTTTACCTTTCTCCACTCAAACATCCAAGATAAAATTAAAAGTATGGGGAGGGGAAAGGGGTGAAGTCAAGCAAGAGGCACAATTCAAGTTGAGCCCAGTGGTCTGTTTAGGAAATGGAGTTACTGCAAAAGATTGCATAAAAATGTTAGATAGCCTTTTATACTGCCTACAGAAAACAGGAATGGATCACTGTAAGGTTTTTGTGTGGAATTCAAGGAACCTGGGAACACTAGCACCGAGCAGTTTCCAAGGGCAGTTCTGGTGCCTCCCACCATCCCTGCCCGTGACCTGGGGGTGGTGTGTGCCTGGAGCTGCACCAGGAGCAGACCCCACTGGGGACCCTGGGACACCAGCCACTGCTGTGCCCCTCAAGTAATGTCATGAGCTTGCCAAGAGCAAGATGGTTCCTGTGACTTTTCATCAGATCCTAAGTTTTGAGCTTTGTTAATCACCATTCTGGGGTAAATGCAAACAGCTTCTTCACTAAGTCATGTACTCTTGAAGTCATTAAGCTCACAATAGTCATGTGCAGTTTATCAGCTTTTCTACTTTAAGTCGATGATAACTTAGAAAATGTGATAAGCACTTCTTTGCACTGTGTATTTTAGTATATTTAGTTGGTGCTTAAATGAGCACCATGAGCACTGGCATCATCACTAAAGGAATTGAGAGTAACACAGACTGCAAATAAAACCTGCATCTTTCACTCACAATCCAAAAACATTCATGTCATAATACTGACCAAGAATTATACATCATTGAGAAGTGAAACACATGTGTTTATGCAAGTTGAAAAAAATCTAATCTGGCAGCAGGAGCAAAAAAAAAAAATTGGAATTACAAAATTACTAGGTAATGAAAATTTTTTAGAGAAGTATATGAGTTTTGTATAAATGAGATTATGTTTTAGCTCTTTATTTTAAAAAAAATAAAGTTTAAGTTCAGTTGTTACAAATCCTCCAGCGTTTCTTAAACCAATAGGATTTTCTGCTCTGGTAACAGTCATTCTAGTGTAAGATTTTGTGTGTACAAGAAGTATCACTTTGATCTGCCTCAAAATGACAATAAAAAATATATCTAACAGTTTGTATGATTTCTTTCTTCTTTTCCAATTAATGGCTGTGGTTTTCCCTGTTTATCTTGGCTAGGTTGTCTGGTTCTAGGAGAATATAAGGCAAGCACATTTCAAGGGTCAATGCTCTCATTGGCATGTACAATCTAAATGTGCAACCCAACACAATTTTTCTACTGAGATAAAAATTTCTGTATGTAGAGATCCATTCTTTATTTTTTTCTGTACAGCTCAGTTCTGAGATACTTTGGCAGCATTTATATATTTTTCTGTGTTTTTATTACAGACAATAGATTGCAATGGAAAAAATTACAAAGTAACAAATAGCCACTTTTTCTGTTCCTCCATAAAAGTGGGGTGGACAGGAATTTAAACCAGGGGGATCTATATGTGAAAGCATTTAGAATGTTAGAAGACCGGGTTTTATGTTAAGTTGAGCAAAATAGATGGACAGAAAGGAATTTACTGAAAAATCAGGACTAGGTAAATATATGGGACTGATAGAAATAAAGCACGATTGTGAGAATATCATATTTTGATATTAATTTAGAAAAAAATAACATAAATGTAGCTAATTAGTTCTACTTTATCATGAAATTAAAACTATTTAAAGGAAATTAGCTACCTAAAGTGATATTCTTTCTACACATTTGATTGTATGCTTCAAGCTACATAAAAATCTTTGTATATTTATAATCATATACATGAGATATAGTTACTTGATTCAGTTTGCTTAGTTTTAAGTTTCACTGCAGCAGAAACTACAAATTACCCTTCCAAACTTCACAAAAAATTCCAAAGAATAACAGTTACCTCTGCAAATTGGCCTGTGGTCACTCCAGGCAGCCAGTGTATCTGTCACTCTCTGACAAGTGATGCTCTTAGAACCTTGCAGCACATAATTGTCTTCACAGGAAAACTGTACACTTGCACCCACCCTAGGAGAAAAAGGGGAGAAACAAGGAAGGAATTAAATATATTTTAATATCAGCATCCTCAAACAACTGTAAATACATTCCAAGTGACAATATTTCAAAATCCAAACAAAGAAGTTAATGTGCAAAATTATCATCTATCAATATTGTATTCATAAAAAAACAACTTATTTTCTAGGGTCTATTATTCAGTTTGTCTACCTTTTAAGGAATACACAACAACTGTGACACTATGTTCTTTTACAGTATGAATTCATTGAATATATGGACATATATTTTATCTAACAAAATACATAAACGTAATTCTTTCAGGCAACAAAACTTAATGAATAATTTCAACATTGCTATATTCACTCAAATGAGAGAAAAAGCAATTAGATATGTAGATTTGTCAACATATACAGCTGGGAAATATGAATTTCAGCCAATGACAATAATTCACTAAATATTCCTGACCTTGTCAAAATTTCCTCTTAAACATTACATTAAATGATAATTTTTTTTAGGAATGAAAATTTGACTGTTACACTTGTAACACTGAAATGTGGACCTCTGGAATTATTTATGCTGCCCAATTGTTATGAAGATTTTCAAAAACTGTTTACACTTATGATATATATCACAGAGAGTTTACCTAAACATTATTTACATATCTTTCTCCAGTTTTTATTTGTGACATTCTTTGTTCCCATCATAATTAACTGGTTCTGTTTGTTTTCTTGCACTTTAAACCTGTATTTGATAGTCCCATGTTGTGAACTAAGTGAACTCAATAAAGCAGATTTCTCAGTTAAGTCTCTGTAAGTTATTGAGCCCTAAACACCAGGGGATTGCTATATGACAGTCAGGAGGCTCAATGCTTAAAATTGTGCTGTGAAGAAGTGGATATATGGAATTGGAAGTGGAATGTCATTCACTATCACCCAGCTCATTCCCATCCTTCGTGAGCAAGTATTTTCTTAATTTCTCAGAAAATCTCACAAACACTAACTATATTGTTTATTGATATTATGATGTGTTTCTACAGTTCTTTTCATTCTTTAAGAAAATTTTAATAGGATTGTTTTCTTTTATTATTTTTTTGTTAATTTTAAAATTTGAATATGATGTTTCAAATCTAGAAAAGCTTTAAAAATGGCTTTTCCTAACACTTTGTTCTTGAGTTGGTAGATAAGAAAACTCAGAAAGACAGGGAAAATATTGGCCTTTTTTCTTCCATAGGTCATGCAAAATGAAAAAAATTCTGTAAGAGTAATGTAAGTTTCTAAAATCGTGTTTATTTTACACTTGTCATAATCTATAGAATATTCTTAAACCCTTAGAAAGAGACCGAGCATTTTTCTAAATAAATATGTCAAATTAATAAAAAATAGTTTCTTTTATTGGTAAAGAAAATATTACTTGTTAATCTGACATTTTAGTGGAATTTTCTCCTATTTTCTAGTATTAGGATCCCTAATTTATTTTTCTAAGGAAACAGGGGGGAAATCCAAAGCAGTTACCTAGCAGTGATAAATACAAATTGAGAACTAAAGTATTTAAAAATCATATTAGATAAATTACCCATAATTGTAATGTTACATGAAGCAAAGTGAAAAACATTTCCCTTAAATTTGCTGCAATCGGGGCACATAAGGAGAATTACAAAACTGTGCACATACAAAAATATAAAGTAAAATTTAGAGTATAATTATTGGATGTCTGCAACAGCAATTTATAATTTAAAATACCTGAATATTCCGTCCAGAAAGAAAGAAGGAGGACTGGGGGAAATGAACTCAAAGAATGCAAATATTTTTATGTCTAATGAAATAAGTTAAGGATTTTGAGTTTAGACTGGGTTTTGGTCATTGTAGAAATACTTTTAAAGTTTTTATTAATGTATACATAAAACATTACATAGTAATTTAAGCTATACACTCATGATGATTCAATTTGTTTCAATATTTTCAACAAAATACGCATTTCAGGGGGTTGGTATTTTTTTCCTAAAGCTCTGGAAATAGCTTGGGTCTAAGGACCTAGGGACAATTAATGTGAACTTTGTATGTTTTACACAGAGGGTATAATCTTTTGAATGTCTGAACACAAACTAAGGGCCACAAAATCAATATGCTGAATACAACATAATAAAAACAAAGAAGAAACATAGAAAAAAGATGTCACATTAAAGAGCAAGGTAAGGACACGAAGTACTCCAATGCTCCTTATGGATCTAAATAAGCATTTTGAGAGAGGGAATGCATCTGGATTATAGTCTGCAATAAAAGTATTCACACATCCAGATTGCTGAGTCTCTCCATTAAACTTGACAGTTTCCCAAAAGGGGACATCCTTTTGAAGATGCCTTATAGCTTGTTTGATATGTGACTTCAAATAAAATTACTGGTTCATTTACTATCCACTAGTTAACAATGAATGGTTTTAATCGGTTGCGGGGGATTGTTGGTTTGTTGGGGTTTTTTTACATCTCTACTTCCCTAGTCACTGAGCAAATCCAGTGGGCACTGGAAGTCTTGTGTTTTGCTTTGTTACTTCTCTCTGTAAACTTCAAATACAGGGAAGAACTCTGTTTCCTCATTTTTATTTTTATATTTCAAATTTTAACTCCATCAAAACATAATTTGTAGATTTATAAAGAATGCTAAAATGTGACTGGAAGAAGCAGTTTTTAAAAAAATAAAATATTAACATTAAAAAGTTAATTTAATTTTCAAAATCTATTTTGGAAATATAAAATCCATTTGTTTTACAAGTGTGGTAAATGTCTGCATTTTCACATTACAACACATACCATATGATATTTAAGCAGAGATGAAAACAGTATTATTTAGATACATTTCAGATTTCATTTAAACAATTTACTGGTTTGCAATCTCACATAAAAATAAAATGTGATATTGACCTCAAAATTGTATTGATTATATTCTCATTACTCCGGCCAAATCTGACTTGCCATTTCTCCCCCAAAATGAATCCAAATATCCATTGGATTGTTTTAAAATCATTGAAAATCACCTCTTTACTTCCTGAAATGAACCCAGGAGAAGCGTGGCAGGAGGACAGAATGAAAAGGTTAAGATTTCAATACCTTTTTGTTTGCTTTATGATATTAGAATGAATGCCATTATTATGCTGAAAATGATGAAACCCTTTTCAAAGAACTTGTCATCACTGAATCAGTTGGGTCTCAGGTTGTCTTGAAAATAAACCCTCTGCCTTTCCATCAATCTCACTTAACATGTCTTTCAGTAGACTGGAAAAGATTTTGAATAATGTGCATTTTCACATGTTTTAGTTCAGATTAATATTCACAGTTGTCATTCTCCTGACAAGAACAATAGCTCCTTCTGGTGTTTATACTTGCCTCTTAGAAAAGAAAAAAAAAAAGCAACAAAACATTGCCTTTCTTTACTCTCCAGAGTACTTTTAATACATTGGAGAAATGCAAGTAGCAGCAAATATTATTCCCCTTCTCCTATGGAAGAGCTTTATTTGTCATTTCAGACCAACAAAAAACAAAATCCAGCAAAATTCTCTATTTAAATGTCCATCTAGATTTAGACAGGTAACTTTAAGATAGATATATTTTAAATAGATATTAACAAATTTTATAGTACATGAAAAACAGTTGCTGTTTTATAATGAATTTTCAGATAATGAGTAATGTTTAGGCAGAACACAAACTGTTATAATTTCTCTCAAATAATATTCAGAACTGGAGGCCCAAAACATACACACAATTAATGTGAATCAAAGTATAAAATGTTTTATTTATCTTATGTTATACGATGTTTCTTGTTGAACACCTTATGCATTCATTAATCCCCATGAACAGTAAGATGCATTTGGTGAAATTATGATACTATAAGAGGCTGGAAGGGATGGAGAAGGGAGGAAAATGCCTTCCTCTGTCAGTTTAGTAGGCATAAGCATTGCTCATAAGTAAGCTCCAGGCATTTAAGATACCTTTAACCCACATTCATGCCTAAGAGACTGTGTTCAAAACAGCTGTATGTGGTTTGCAAGGTTCTTTGACATTAGATTCCCCTGGATATCTTAAAATATAAAATACTTTGAGCTTTAAGGTTCTTTTGGGTTTAACCTCTTGGTATTTTTACACATTGCTCGGAAATTTGTTGTTGAGATCTTCCATATTTGGGTTCTCACATTTTGGATCTTTGAACTTGTTTCACCAAAACTATTTTTAGTTCCCTTTCTCTTTCAATTTACAGATTACCTGCTATAGGTGAAAAGAAGTAATTTTCTTTCTTACCCTCTTTGAGCTCATCAGTGCTCTTAGACTTGCTGCTGTTTCTTGACAATTGTTCATATGCCACTGATTTGTACTAGCTAGATGAGAGTCTGTTTGGCCAGCAGTGTGTCATGAACACATAAAAGCTGTATGATATTTATAGATTCACAGACTAAATTAGATTGGAAGAGGACATCATCTAGTCCATTTGAGGCAAGCCCAGTTGGAAGAGAGGGCTCAGAGACCTGCTTGGGTATGTTCTAAATGCCTCCCTGGATGGAGATTCTACAAATTCTCTCACAAACTTCAATGTTTTACTATTCTCATAGTAAAAATATTTTCTTTTTAAAGTCCTGAATCTAGTAGTAATTTACTACATCCCACCTTATTTCCACTGCCTCTAGTCCTGTTACTGCTAATTCTTTCCAGAGATGCTTTTCTCTCCCCACTGATAACAAAGTGATCCTAGATACTGCCACTAATTCTTTCAATTAAGTATTTTATTTGGAGGAACTGGAGGAATTCAGAAGTGACATGTTCTGCATCATTTATGGCTTTATGAGGAGAGACTGAAGCAAAAGAGAGATACGAGGCATGCCTGCACAAGCAGGAAAGTAATATATTCTCCAAAATAAAAGTAGGACTATAAAGGTGTTCCTTGGATGAATACTCAGAGGCACTTTGATACCTCTTGAGAAAGAGTTATATTTTAGCATCCCATTTTTACCTAGTCTTCTACTGTATAATGCTTACCTCTGCAATACATCAAACACTAAAAAAGACCTAAATAGAAATTACATTTCTTTTCCTAAAATAGCAGCCCTTTGGACAGCAAAAACATACTGTATTTTTGTATCATACAATTTCACTTGCAGTAGATGGCCTTGACAGGTTGAATCAGAACACACAGAAGAGGATATCAGCAAATATCTAGAAAATTTGTGTCTCTAACCTATTAACTGAAATCTTACTTACCTTCATTATTTTTTAAAACACATTGCACTGTTGCCCTGACACAAATGAAGCCATGACTTTGCATATAACTGAATCTTTTAATGTTCAAGTTCTTTGTGATTTCTCAGACTCCTTTGAGGATAAATGGAGAAAAATTCAAAAAAGTATGTCAATGAGAAAGGGAGTAGATATTTTTATTTACTTTTCCTGTCAATTATGGACTAAGTTGGAAGAGCCTTAATTCAGGAGGCAAGTTGCATTAATTTGCTTTCTAGAGTTGCAGAGAACTTTGCATAATTCCTTCTAATTCTTATGAATTGTTCCTGTCTCTCAGGTCTGACTGTACATTCTCCACTGAGCAATTTATAAATCTCTGCATGAGCTGGAGGCTCCCATCTCCTTCCTTTGACTCTTTTCTCTGCTGCACCTTCAAGTCTCTGCCTTTTTTCCTCGATGGGAAAAGAGAAAACTTCCTCTCTCTAGAGAGGTCCATTTGACTTTGTCTTCTTTTTTTTAATATAACAAAAGGTAAAAACAGGAAAAAAAAGGAGATGGCATTCATCACAGCCTCAGACACTTAGTTCACTATGTTCTCCAAGCTTTTTAACAGCTTTTACAAAGAGGGAAAAAAGATAACACTCTCTGATTCTTCTTCTATGCTGTCCATGGAGTTCTGATTTTTCTACATTGATGAAATTATTATGCTCTAAAATTCCTATTTTATATGCATTGATTTAAAAAACAACTCAAGCAAAAACAATATGTCATTCAATAGATCTATTTTGAAGAATCAATATATTTAGAACTAGGGAAATGATACACATCTATAATTACAGGGTGTCTTAGGTTACAGTGTAAAATGTAACCCAAAGTAAATACTCTGTGACCATCCTCATAGGCTGTCAAACACCGGTGGAGCAGTGTTCTTTATCTCCTCCATGACTCATCCCTGATAACTCCCTCCAGAGAGATACCTTCTGCTACCAAGCCATCCAGCCTCACTGCATGACTGACAAAATTCCATCATTTCATTGTGAGATGCTCCGTCCAGGGGTAGGAACCAAGCATTCCTACCTGGATATAAACTGAGGTTTGGAACACAAGTGGCCTTATCCACTGAATTCCCAGAGGACAAGAGCTACATAACCACCATATAATGTCCATAACTGGACCTTCAGAGGAAAACCAGACCCTTCTACAGGATCACCGCATCAACAGCACCACATCTATCATTTCAACAGGACTGCAGCCACCATTTAATCAGACTGCTACACCACCCTGACCAGCAGGGTGTCAGGTTGCAGTGTTTTCTGCCTTTCTTTTAATTTTCCTATTAAATTGTAGTTCTGACTTTCACTGGTTTGCTTTCCAACTAGTACACAGGCTGTGTATAAAGGTAATATGAAATATTTTCCTCTTGATCATATAGAAAACTAAATGTGCCTACCTGAAGTCAGAGCCTACCCTCTTCCCATTTTCAGGAATTCCAGGATCAGGACATGTATCAGATGCAATTGCATCCCCACCCTGGGTCACTGCAAAGTAAAGGAAAAAAAGGATTAGACATGCAGCTCTAAAGATGACTCTTTACATTTCCCATACATAAACTTCTATTGCCTGAATACAATCATATTTTACCATTTCTTCTTGAATCAGTTGAAATTATTAGCAAAAAGAATCCCCACATAATTGATATTTTTGGTGCATTTTTTTTTCATTTTTTATGGTAAAAAAAGTTTTTTTTTCTGGGGGAAATGATTGATTTCCCACAGTCATTCATTTTTCTAATGGATACACTAGGACCCAAAGTTTTCCTCAGACAGGAAAAAACATTTCATCAAGTCGCCTTCTGAAATATTCACAATACACCATTGTATGATTAACACAGTATGAGAGAAAATAAAATTTCCATAATAAAATCTGTCCATAATAAGATGTAAAATAAACAAAAGGCCAACCCAAACCCAACTATGATGCTGTAGAACTGTAGAGAAGGAGTATTTTCATGAATCCCAGCACCATTTAGATTGGAAAAGACCTCCAAGATCATTGAGTCCAAATTTTGACCAATCACTACCTTGACTGAAGATAATCTCAAAAATATACAAAATACCCAATTGAACAATGCACTTGTAGCCAGCTGAATATGCTCATGCAAATGGGGCTCAAATCTCTGCTTTTTGTTTTCCGCTAAGAATAGAAAGACAAGGTATCCTATAATCTTCCACTCTTTTGCCTCCATTTTTTCTCTGTCCAGACTGTAAGATAATTAAATGATACTATGTATATAAATATCTAAACTTATCATACTCTCAAAACAAATTGAACTCTCAAAACAATTTGAACATTGTCTCCCCTTTTTTCCTATTACATTCCTAAAATGGTAATTATAGAAAATGTGAAGTTAAAAGTTATTCATCATAAACAAAAGACATAAAGCAGAACACTGAATATACAGAAAACCCAAACACACATCTTCTTTTTATCCTGAACATATGTATGATATGATATGTATGATATGTATGATACATACAGCTGAGAAAAAGGAAGAACTGACATAAAGTCTGTGTTGGGTTTGCACTGACAAAAATTGGTAGAAAGGCTGGGGAGGGGGGAAGTGCTACAGGAGTGGCTTCTGTGAGAAGCTGCCAGAAGATTCTTCCATGTCCATCAGAGCCAATCCCTGGCAGCTCCAAAATGGACCCACTGCTGGTCAAGTCTGGGCAAATTAGAATAGGTGTTAACACCTATGGTATAAGAGACTTAAGAAGAGAAAAAAAGCTATTCTGCAGTTGTAATTGAAGCCAGAGAAAGTAGAGTTAGGACATGTGAAAGGAACAGCTCTACAGACACCAATGTCACTGCAGAAGGAGGGACAGGAGGTGCTCCAGGCACCAGAGCTGAGATTCCCCTGCAGCCCGTGATGAGAACTATGGTGAGGCAGCTGTGCCCCTGCAGCCCCTGGAGGAGCACTGGGATGCAGAGATCCATCCACAGCCCATGGAGAACCACAGGGATGCAGATGCATGGTCCCACAGGCCTGTGGAGAGAGGAGCCCACACTAGAGTAAGTTTGCTGGTAGGACTTGTGACCCTGTAAAGGACCCATGCTGGAGCAGCCTGTCCTTGCAGGATTGCATCCCATGGAAGAGTGACCCACTCTGCAGCAGTTTGGGGAGGATTGCTGCCCATGGGATGGATTCACATTGGAGAATTTAATGGAGAATTATCTCCCATGGGAAAGACAACATGCTGGAGCAGAGAAGGAATCCTCTCCCTGAGCAGCAGAAGAAACAAGCTGTGATGAACTGACCATAACATAACTCCCACATAACCTGTGCAGCTGGGGGTGGAGATAGAGCTGGGAAGGAGGAAAGGGTGAGAGAAAGTCTTTATAAGGTCTTTACATCACATTATCCTGCTCTGATTTTGTTAGTAATAAATGCAATATTTTTAACTCCAGTCTATTTGCCCGTGATAGTATTTGGTGAGTGATCTTTCCCAGTTCTTATTTCAACTCATGAATTCTTATTGTTGTATTGTTGTCTAGTTGTATTTTCTCTCCCCTGTCCAGCTGTGGAGAGGGGTGATGGAGAAGCTTTGGTGGGTGCCGGTCATCCAGCCAGGGCCAACACACTACAGTATATGCCTCCAGTCTTTCTACTTCTTCCACAAAATACAGAACTAGTAGAAATTTCTGGAACATATTTTCCATCTTAAAAGATTTTTGGGTAATCTGTAAGAAAAGGACAGAGCATTCTTCCTGAGTTTAAAACAACAACAAAAAATTTAATTGGAATATTTAAACTACAGAAAATAAATTACACAAGTCTGAGTGGATTACAGATGACAGCATTACAGCTGAAAGGTGATGAAATATTAGATGTAAAAAGCAGCTAGTTTTCCCACACAGTGATATGCTTTCAAATTTAATATAGCACCAAAAGGAGTGGTGACAAATAGGATACATACAATCAGATTTTAAGAGCGATAAATCTTCATGTCTGTTTTGGCAGCATCAGGGACAATTCATTTATTTAGAAATCCAAAGATTTATAAAAGAAGATTTAAAGAACTAAAAATCTGTATTACAGCACTACAACAATACAAGTGAGACAATGCACTATTACAGACCAAAGTTCTTCACCTGAGCACAGGTTCTTCTGTAGAGAAGCAGAGAAGCTCCAATGATTACAGTATATTTCAACCTTTGCCTCTTTTTTTTTTTTTAAATCTAGAACGTTTTAAGAATACATGAATCACCTCTTTTACCCACATCTTTTTAACATTACTTATTGTCCTGCATACTTTTTCTTTAAACATCAAGAAAGAGAATATCAAAAATTTCATTGAAGACACAACTGAAAATATGAGGTCTAACTTAAAAGAATACTTCCTTCTAAATACAAAGGCCAGACACGAATAAAAATTCAATTCATCTGGACTTTTATAGCACCTGGAATTCATAATCTTGAAAACTCTCTACACCAGAGCTCAGACCTGATAATTTCACTAGTATTACTTAGATTGATAAAGTTTTCTGTATGTGAACAAAGGCTTTCAGAAAAAGTATATGCTAGCTAGTATCCATATATTTTATTTTTGTAGGTTCTTGAAAAGTGTCAGTATTGAAATGCAGTTATAGTGAAAAACCTGGTCTTACTACAAAAGGCCTACAAAGGCCTGCTTCTACATCGATGTTTCTTAAAATAAATTCCCTCCATACTAATGTTTCTTCCATTGTTTCACCAAAAAATATGAAAAAAAAGTTATATATTACTACTTTTAGCAGAGAACTGTAGGTATGTTAGTGGACATGAGATTCAGTTTGGACTACTGAATCACCAAAACACAAACATAAGCAAAACAGCTGATATGACTGTTATATGCTACGTTTTCTACCGTGTTTTAAGAACATCATACATCACATTGGAGTGAAGCTATCTCCTTTTACAGATATACATACATACAAAATGCTTAAGTACCTTGGGACATCAGTGAATGCTGAATGAAACCCTAGTCATAGCCCAGAATGGAGTGATCTTCCCAAATGTATGACAACCTTTGCAAAATTTTTTTCTCAGCCACTATGCTTTGTCAACAAACTCTCACACCAATATCAGGGCAGGGTGGTTCGGCCTCTTGATTATCCAGAGAAATACTATCTCTTTAAATAGGACAGGTATCCTGTCTGGAACTCAACACATCTTCCTGGATGTCTACAGGCCTTCTTAAACATGGCCCAAGTTTTAGCTTCTGTTTTCCCCAGTGAATTGTCAAGTGTACTTTTAACAGATGGTGTATGCATGACATGCTGTCATGACAAAATAAATCCAATTCCCTGTAAAACAAACCTGCCTGATTTTATCTTTCCAGATGGAAAAGAAAAGAAAAAAAAAAAGAAAAAAATAAATCTCTCAAATTAGTATAACAATTTATTGCCTCTACTAGTTCAGAGACACCGGGGACTTCAGCTAACATATGTATATACTTTTACATATTAGTATGCTTAAAACCTTCACCTGCCAGTACTTTGGAATTTACTTAAAAATTAGATATTATGATTTATTTTAGCTCCTGCATTTATCATTCAGACTGAAAATAGATTGAAAGGTGCCTAAACAAATGCCTGTCAGAGACCTTTATCTTCCTCTATTACAATTCTGCCAGATTTCCACTTTATCTACTGCTATGAGGCATTACCCATTGCAACTGAGATCTATAACATGAGATGAGAAAGTATCATTGATGTGAGTATCTCACTTTCAAAATATATTTAAATATTGCAGCCTTTACAAGCATTTCCCAGATACATCATTTCTATTCACTAATCTTTCACTGGTTTAATTTGAAGAAAAAGACTTTTGCATGATCTTGAAAGACCCATGTCTCTTTTCACTCTTTGTGCACTGCATAAAGTTTCATTTACCTAGGGTGTGTGTAAAAAGTGTTTTACGCTTTTTGCACTTTACTCCCGTTTTTTTCCATCTTTATCATATCAAACTTGTATTGTTATCCTTGACATTCAAAGCTCATTCACAGACTGAGTGTATTTTAACCATAATTTCAATTTTCATTTTAGAATTTAAAAAAAAAAAATCAAACAATGGTGTCAATGAAAATGGAAAGTAATATTCCTGTTTAAAGCTTGCAAAACCCATAAATAAATATCAATTATGTAAAACCTTTGGCAAAGCTATGAACTAATTATCAGGATTTATCTTAAAGTACTAACAATCTTCCTCTGAAATGCAAATATAAACTAAAAACCTATAAACTGGTATTTATGGCAAATAAATTTAGGACCAGTCTAAATAACACCATCCTCTCTCTATATATTCTTAGTATGTTCTCAGAACACCCTCTCTGTATTAAAAAGAAGTTTAAGAGGATTATTCCTGGCTAATATCAAAGTCAGATACTACTTTATGTAGCTCCTCATACTGCATCTCAGTTCTTCAAGGAACCATCAGTTAGAGGAAATGGTGAGTATGCCATGAGACTAACTTCACAAAAAATATTTGAAGCCATAGGGC